CACATACACAATATACACAATATATATATATATATATATATATATATATATATATGTATGTATGTGTGTGTGTGTGTGTGTGTAGATGTGTATGTGTGGGTGTGTGTATGCATGTGTATGTATACCAATGTACATATACCGGTAATAAACTTGTATTCTTTTAATGATTAGCTATGTTGTGACGTTGAATTTTATTTTATTTATGTATTTTTTATTCATTTATTTATTTATTTAATATTTATTTATTTTATTTTTTTTATTTATTTATTTTTTTTTTCCTCTTCTCAATATTTCTCTTTTGGATTGTGTTTTCCTAGATGTGCGTGTGTAAGTTTTGGCCATAGTACTGTACAGGAGAATAAGTCTGTATTTCTGTATCTCCTTTGTATTTATTTACTTTAAGTAGTTTAATTAAGTTTAGTTGTTAAGTTATGATAAGAAAGGACTTTCAAATTTTGTACTTGTGCTTTTTGTATTTTTTTTTAAATGTAACTTCTTTTTATAAATTTTTGGTCTTGTACGCACCGTCAATTGACGAGTGCCACTGTAACAAAAGTGTAAGTTCAATAAATTATTATTATTATTAAACTTTAATTGGAATAAGTTGAAATAGATACTATATATCACAATACTGAATCGGGCAGTTGTCAAAGTGCTATACCATATTTATTAACATCTATTAAATTGATAGCTATGGACAAAATACTTATTTTGTATATTTAGTTATTAATTTTGGGATCGTTTACAATTATCAAAATTTTCAATTTTCAAGTGTACAAACGGGAACTGGTCAAAACGGCAAAAAACCAAAACGGCAATAAGTCAAAACGGCAATGACCAAAACGGCAAAAAACCAAAACTGCAACACTTTCAAAACAGACCGGCAATTGGCCAAAACGGCAATAAACGAAAACGGCAACACTTCCAGAATGACATACTGTATGGTATTGGCAAAATGTCTAAATAAAATACTACTAGGCTACTAGGTGTAGAGAGTCTTAAACGGACCCGCTTGCATGATGTTTTCAGTTGACCATAAACAGTAGGCAACACATAATTGAATCACCGAATCAACAATAGTTTGCATAAAACGCCTTTTTTAAATTAAAAGGTTATTGAAAGAAACGGCATGGGCGTTACCTTAAAAAACCCCTCTTTTTCGCACATTATTCATGAACTGTAAGTGCTACTATCTCGTATTTACCTCGGTTTGATGGTTTTATTTTAACTGCTGTTACTAATATAACAACATTAAAACGTACAACTCCAATAAAATTAACAGACCATTCTGATTCAATATTTATTTTCATATATCGTCAGTTCAGTTTATTTCTCATAATCAAAACATTGTACAAAACAGATGAAATTCGCACAAGGCAGGACAAAAAAATATTACAATAAAAGATAAGGATGGTCTATAAAAATTTTCTTTAAGAAGTAAAAATTCGCAAAATAAGGTGATTTTTAACTACTACCGTAATTTAAAACCAGTGTCAGTACTTGGGTATTAGGCCTATGTGGTTAACATAAGCAAGAATTTAGTCCAAATAAACTGTTTATCATCTTGATACCTTCCGGACGAAAATTGACCCTACCGGCGTCCCCGGCCCGATCGATCTAACGTGACGTTGTTATGTGGGTGTTTTATAGATTATTGAGAATGGTAATATCACCGAAAGAATAGATAAAATAACAGTTGAATGACCATCAAAGACAACTGAAGACAATAGTTCGTCATTAGAAGTTATTTAGTATAACTTTATTCGGAAAATTAATCTCAAAATCGAGTTGCCGTCCCCGGCGTTGTCAGTGACGCCGTATGATTTGTGTGCGATTTTCACCCATTAACCCCTAAGTAAAAAATAGTTGAGCTATGTAGTACCTTGCAAATCAACCCAGAAACCCGGTAATTTGTTGATTGTTTATTGGTAGCGTCCCTTCGCTGCCAAAAATAGTTTGTTGGCAATTGCACTCCGGTGACATCGTGAGGGCATGGTGAAGGCTGATTACGAATTGGTGGCACATCGATTGAGTATTTTCATTCATCTGGCCAGTAAGTCAGTGGCGTATCTAGATGTCTTGAAATGGGAGGGGTGGCGTATCTAGATGTCTTAAAATGTGGGAGCTGATGTGGCGCGAATGTGAAGTGGGGGCTCGATGGGGGCTCGATGATCAGTTGAGGGGCGCTAATTCGCAAAATAAGGTGATTTTAGGTGATTTTTAACTACTTGACCGTGATTTGAAACCAGTGTCTGTATAATAGGTAAACATGTGGTTAACTTAAGCAAGAATTTAGTCCAATGAAACTGTTTATAATCT